CATAGCCCACCCTTTAAAGCGAAACACAGCCATGCAAACACAACGCTTTACGGTTGAAACACGAATAGGACAGAGGTAGCCAAGCAAACGACTTTTGTACAAAGTCTCCCTCTGGTTTATTTTCGAGTCTACGCAATTCAAATGTTCGCCTGGTACTTTCTATCTACTAAATGTACGAATACTCTCTTATATGTTATATGTATGTATATACATACCAGAGTACAACAAAAGCTTAAAGTGATTACCTACCCTATACGATTGCTCGTAAAACGTTTATGTGCTGCTATTACTTTGACGTGTGGTTTTGTAGCCATTTTATTCCTTATCGAATGCTACACTATACACTTTTGCCTAAGGGAATATTAAAAAAAAAAAAACATATTTGAATATCGAACGGTAGAACATTCAGGAGCAATTCAAGAATTGGTCCTTATAAAAGTTGAGCAGCTAGTCAAGTCCTTACGTAATTAAGGGCCCCATTATACCATAAACAAAAGACAGACTCTGTATCATTTTTCTCGTGCGTCTTCATTAGGGTTGCGTATTAAATGTAATTTAATGTCATTAATTATAATATATCTGTATTAATGAAAATGCAATGCTATTCATTGGTAAGTACATCACTTGAGAATAACTGGACCCATTCGGTATTTTATTTTTTATTTAGATTTTTAAGGAACGTGAAATAAATGGACTTTGAAGTATGTAATTAATAGCGTCAGATGACAAACTCAGTTTGGCTTTAGTGATGTTTTAAGAAGGACGCTGCTGCCTCCCTCGATCATTAACTTCCCTTAGTTGCCTCGAAATCTATGGGAATGGAACGGGTGACCTATTCTATGCCGGGACCATACGGTAAATAATTCTTCATACTTATATTATAAAAATACCCTATCACATTAATGTGTTATGTGTTAATACATTAATCTTTCGAATTGCTCAACCGATTTTAATAAAATTTTGTAATTGTATATTGTTGGATCTAAATTAAGAGACAGGATTGTTATTATCTCAATAACAATAAATGGATCCGGTAGGTGGCGGGTGAGGGCAATACAACGTTAGCCGTTCAACTAATATAATACCTATATAATTATGTCATTGGGGGGGGGGGGGGGAGAGGGAAAATTGTTATCAACGTGGAGGTTAGTCTCCATTGATATCAATATATCCTAATAGGTCGACCTCCACGCGGTTCCCCCTGGAAATCATCGTGACTAATTTATCGTTAAATTCGTCACGATGGGCTAAATGACTTGCCTTTTCTTACTCACCGATCATCTCTCACTGGTACCCCGTCAGCGTATACCGCTAGGGCAGGCGGGGTTAACATTCCAGTATCATCCATTAAAAAAAATTATATCATTGTCTAATAATTCTATAAAATCATTACTTATAAAAATTGCATAACAACATCCTTTCAGGTCCAGACTTTGCCCCCTGACAATGTTAAAATGCGATTTGATTTTATAAAATCCATATATCACTCAGTGCTATTCCCCTACCAATAAACGTCGAAAAACCGATAAAAACAAAAAAGATGCTACTTTGAAGTCGTGACAACCCTATTCAGAGGTCCTAGCAACACGCCTCTCGAGGACACTGCCCCGATATTGCAAATCTATCCGTTCACTTTTCTAGACCTTATTACCTAGCCCATTAAGTCTATTTCAGATAGTGCACCTATCCACAAATAGGTTGTCTACAATTCGCATTCCATTTACAACACCTGCATTGAAATTGTACTGTATTGTATACAAAATAGACGTTATTTTTGTTTGTTTTTCTTTTCGAATAACTTTGTTCTGTAGAAGTCCTGCTGGGTTACTATGGGTTGTCGAACAAAAATAGAGAAAGACCATAATGTTCTTCTGAGCGTTAAGTAGGTTTTTTATGTGTTTTTGTATTGTTTTCTACTCTCATAACAGTATGGTGTCAGTGATTGGTATAATTTCAACTTACGTACAAAACAATTTGAGTCATAAACATATGGCAGTTAAATATACTTTTCCAATGCGTTTTTGAAGTAATTTTTTAATAATAAAATAAAATGCAGGCTGTGTATCCCACGAGTCCGCTTGCATGGATTTATACATAAAATATCCTATTTGCTAATTTAGGATATAATCTACTCGTGTACCGAATTTCATTTAAATCTGTCCAGTAGCTTTTGCGTGAAAGAGTAACAAACATCAATCTATCCATTTATCATTACAAACTTTTGCATTTATTACACCAATAGAATAATTCTTTGTGATTTTAACAGCTTTTTTTAAAAGATATTAAAATGTAATAGTGAACCTGCCTGTCACTGTCGGCACCAGTAAGGATGCAGTCAGCTCAGTTGGTATCCAGGAAGAATCGCGAATATAACTGATATATTTTAGCAAATGAACTTAGGGTCTAATGTCGCCAATACTAGCATATTATATACATAATATTATACATGTGTTTGATATATAATTATTTTTATATAATACATATAATAATAACTCTTCATCCAATCTATATTTATAACTACTGTGTCTCAATTTATAATTATCATAAACTGTCCAAAAAAACCAGAGGGAGATTTTGTACAAAAGTCGATTGCTTGGGTACCTCTGTCCCATTCGTGTTTCTACTGTGAAGCAGTTGTGTTTGTATGACTGTGTTTCGGTTTGAAGGGTGGTTTATGGCGTGAATTTACAGGGTACAGAGGAATAAGATCTGAGTCCTCAGGAATTGCAACGCATGGGGGGTATCATGGGCGAAACAGTATACTCTGTTATGTCCATGGTACTGCTCATGTCTGCAGGCGACGGTTACCACTTTCCATCAGGTGGGCCGTCAGCTTGTTTGCCATTCTAGGTTGTATAAAAAAAAACTGTCATAAATTAAATAGATTGGTAGTCCGCTTGATAGGAAGTGGCATCCATCGCTAAACATGAACAGTACCATGGATGTTACAGAATATACAGTGCCGCCCGTGACTTTCTATATACATTACCACTCTCTTGTAATCTTGACAGAAGAAAAAAAAATAATTACAATAGACAAAATCGTTTTAAAATATGATACGACTGATTATTTATTGAAAGGTAGAATCTAGTAGACAAAAACTTTGGGAAGGACTGGATTTAAAAAAAAGAGTTAACAAAACTTGCTCCTTTTTTATTACACAATACATTCTGCCATAATTTAAAATTGATAAACATCAACGATCGAATGAAGATCGAATAGAGTATCGAGTTGAGCCGAGTATGCATCGAGTGTACTTTTTCATTTTGCCCTGTTCACAGGCTGCGGCCCGCATGATGGACTTGATTAATCGATATTAGTATTGCAATAAACTACTAGTTTGTATGTAGTTGTGAATGTGAGGTGCGCGGTGCAAGTCATAAGAGTTTGATCTTTATCAACTGCACTATATCTACCGATATTTTCAATTGACTCCAAATAATATTTATTATATTCCAAATCCAAATATATTCCACCAAAAGTACCAACTTCAGTTGTGGTATAGCTAATTATTTTAATTTACAAACTAAACTTCTGAATCGATTTTAATAAAATTTCTATGAAATCAATTAAAAAGTATATACTTTCGAACTATTGAGGACAGAAGGGGAAAAATTTTGGGACACTTGATACGACACGACGAACTTATGAACATTACAATAGAAGGCAAGATAGAAGGAAGGAGGGGGAGAGGGAGACCGAGACATAGTTACATCAGGCAGATCAAGGAAGGAGTTGGTGTCGTATCAAGAAGTGAAGAGACTCGCAGAAAATCGTAGTGAGTGGCAAGAGCTCCACCGACAAGAGGGCAGCTCTTAAATAGATAGATAGATAGATACTTTCGAATTAAAAAATGAATCTTCTAAATTTATTTATAAATAACAGAGCTATGAAGTAACAAATATAGAAAAAATACAACCGATTTGAGACACTCCTTTTTATTAAGTTACTTAGAAAAGGCTCCCAATTCGATTGTACTTTAGTTTACCGAAAATATTACAATATTTCAATTTAAAAGAACACCGTATTTGATACCTATACTATGTTAATATAAACACAATGCCTACGTAAAATAATAATGAATTGATTTAAGTATCGCATATTTATTGATTTTTTTTTTTAAATTGGATATAATTTAATCGTTATATTAACCGCTCTCTCTTATGATTTAAGCTACAGTACGATTAATTACGTTACTTGGCTATAAAATCAATGCAACTGTCTGTCTGTACGTACATTAACTATATAAATCTATTGAGTTACATTTGCGGCATAGTAATTTAATACCTTCTATAAAATCTCTATTGTAGAAGTAGTACAAGAAATTATAAATTGATTAATACCTGTTAATAGTTTAATTCCTTTAAATAGAATAGATACAAAGAGACTTAATAGCAGCTATGTCTAATTTATAAAATATTTTTAAAAAATTTCCATGAAGGAGTAAAATCTCAAATGCTGGATGTTAATTTTTTTTTTATTATCTGCTCCTGGACTATTTTATCGATGGATTAAATTATTTTTTATTGTTACTTATGTTTGAGAATTACGTCAAGAATCGTTTTAAAGTTTTGGTAGCGGTAGCAGATGTATTTAAGTTTGTCGTGATGGTGGAATAGCCTTTCAATGTTCATATTAATCTTGTATTATATATCTAATATTTCTACGAACCTAATTAACTTATTATATACGGCAAATATATATATATATATATATATATATATATATATATATATATATATATATATATATATATATATATATAAAGGAGTTGATCAAAATAATTAACGCGATTCACGACAGTTAAATTATTTAACAAAACATAAAAAAAATTATTACAAATGCCAAAATATGGCATGAATAAAATCCCTGTGAAAGATAAATTTTTTAAAACATAGGTATATTTTTTTTATTTCAGTCCTTTAGAGACGTGATGTGATATTTTCCAGTACATAATATCACAGGTAAAAATATATCCATATAAAAAAAAAATCACTTACATTCCCCTGCGGATCGATCAGCTGCGCGTATTTAGGCGCTTTGGCCTTACTGCCGTCTGCGAAGACGCCAGCCAGCCGCAGAGGCGTGCCGGGCCTCGCCGCCGCCCGCTCGTACTGTGCTCCCACTCGCCCGCTTTCTGTTTACACGAAATACGCTATAAGCTTGTGAATTGAACCACTTAAAAATTATAAGAGTCGATTATTGAAGAAACAAAAATTTAAAGAGTAAATTGCAAAGAAATGTAAACTAAGTAATTGGACAATAACAATTGTACTTTATTAGTAATTCTATCATAGGTACTAATTGTATTGTAATACTAAAGGATATACTTGCAAGAAGGAGCCTCTGTACAAAAGTCGTCTGCTTGGGTACCTCTGTCCCATTCGTGTTTCTACCGTGAAGCAGTTGTGTTTGCACGGCTGAGTTTCGGTTTGAAGCGTGAGGCGTAGCATTGAAATTACAGATGTTATGCCTCTGCACCCTGTATTAGCTCAGGAATGGCAATACATGAGGTGTACAGGCGGCACAGTATACTCTATTATATCCATGGTACTATTCATGTCCACAAACGAAGGATACTATTTTCCATCAGGCGGGCAGTCAGTTTGTTTGCCATTCTAAATTGCATAAAAAAATATATAATTTTAGATTGGTTTTATACCAATTTTATTAATATATGTTGTATAAAATAAAATAAATAATTACTATGTACAGCGATATAATGCTGTCGAAATCGCGTTATATTATTAGTAGGTCAGTCCGTACAGAATTGGGATCGGATGCTTCGGAATTACATTTCATGGTAAATTACCAACTATTATGATTGGTAGTGTCCATTGTTTAGCGAACAGTAAATTCTCTTGCAGATAAAATATTCTTATTTATCTACGCCGTCGACTCTGACTTCTAGGTTAATCTACGATTTGACTACTGAAGCTAAGAACAAGGAATTATACATGGAAGGAATGATAAAATAAAAACTTCATAGCAGGCTAGTGTATAGAAAATGTTATACGGCCGTATAACCCAACCAAATTCAGATACAACCTATTTGCATACTCTCTACATAAACTGTGTCGAATATATAATCTAGAAATGTAAAATTTGTCCTTGACAAATATGTAATTGATATGTCAAACATTTTCTATACACTAACCTGCTATGAATTGAGAAAAATAGCAGCTGATGGCGTATCTTTCGTCCTCTTTTTACTAATTATATTTGCATAAGAAGAAAGGAGGCAGCCACATGGTTTACAGTTTTTATTTTATCATTCCTTCTATGTAATTCCTTGTTCTTAGCACTGAAGTGACAGTCAAGAACATAGATTAAGGATAGTGGCATACTCTTTCATCACGGTCAAGGACAATCCTAAACTTTATCTATGGTAAACAGAATTGGTACTGTCATATTAAATTAGGAACGTTTTTTAAAACCGGTTTCCACAAGTTATAGCAAAAAAATGACGCAAATTTTAATTACTTATTTGTTCCTAATAGGTATAGCTATGAGGGGAAAGGGATTGTTAGTAATAGAGTGTAACTGACCCATTTCTAGCAATGCACCCTATTAGGTCGACCTCCACGTGATTCCTCCTGGAAACCATCGCGGTTAATTCTAGTGGAATTCTTCACGATGGGCTAACTGACCTGCTTTCATCCTCACCTATTATCCCTCACTGGTGCCCCGCCAGTGTATACCGATAGTGCGGACGGGGTTACCATGCCATTATTACCCATTAAAAAACTAGGGATAGCTAATAAGTAGTACGTTAGAACCAGTACCTGCAGTCCGGGGGGAAAGGGATTGTTAGTAATGGAGACTGAGAATCCCATTGCTAGCAATATACCCAACCGGGTCGACCTCCTCGCGATTCCCCCTGGAAACTATCATGGTTAATTCCTGATGAATTTATCATGATGGGCTAACTGGCCTGTTTTCATCCTCATCGATCACCCTTCACTGGTGCTCCGCCAGCGTATCCCATTAGCGCAGGCGGGGTTACCACTCCATTTTCATCCAATAAAAAAAAACATCTTTAATGTTTATGGGAAGGGATAGGATGCCACTATGTGGCATTGAGCAAGTAATCACACTATGTGCGAGGATGTGGGATACGACAGCTGTAGTCACCAGAACGAAAAATATCTCCAAATATAAAAGATATAATATATTGCAATTAAAAAAAAAAAAAAAAAAAACTAAACGCCCAATAGATTTAAATATATGCTTTTGTTTTTTTTTTTTTATTATTATAACGGACTACAGTCGTTGCATGCCATCTGCCTGTCACAGTACATGTAGTCTAGGTGATACCAGGAACTCATAATTAATAAGGAGTAGTTCTTCAACTCACCCGAAGCCGGCCTCGCCCGGTACGCGGAGATGGCGCGCGGGGACACGAGGGCGAAGGCACGCGCCCTGAGCAGGGCCGCTATGGAGCCCCGAGGGGACGCGAGCGCTCCGCCCCGGCACCCACACGCTGAGAACCATCCTGTAATTAAATTAAACACTTTTAATTAAAAAAGAAATACAACTTTGGCGAAATTTGTACCAGACAAACGCGTGTATTCGATCAAAAATTGTATGTTAAAAAAATACAGCAATTTCAATCAACAAAAAATAATATTTTTTTATTTATACAACTATATTTTTTTTATTAAACTATGTTCCACAAAAAACAACCGACTTCAAACCATATATTTTGTTTTTAAAATAACTAAGATAAGTTTTTTTTTTTTAAATAAACCGATATATATAATTTTTTTTGGAACTAATTTGTAAGTATATCCTTACAGATGAGAAAAGAATTTTCCAATTCAATGTACAACTGACGGAGTTATGAGGTTGGCTGTACTAACAATAAATACAGCCAAATTGAGTACCTCCTTCTTTTGAAATCGGTTGAAAACAGTCTACCTTTTAAAATCGCGTACTTTAAAAATTATATAACTAATGTAATCAGCGTTTTGTTATACAAAACAACTATGTACTATACTGGCTTTGCACGGATGGATAAAATTTTCATAAATACTATATAGAACATGTTACTGGCTGATAATGTAGCTTTCTATAGGTAGAAGAATTTTTAAAATCGATTCAGTAGTTTATGATTATCAAATCTTTATGAGTATAAACAACAATGGTTGACTTCTAAGAAGTAGGAAATATAAAAAAAGAACGGCGCATCAGCTAATAGTTGGCTAGTTTTTCAGGACGTTTTTTATGCTCAAAACTCCATCTATATGAACACAATCTAGCCTTAAATCTTTAATAGAATATGGGTCTTTTGATACTCACTATTGCCTACTATATCTTTTTATAGACTGCCATTGACCGCTGAAGCAAACAACCAGTATATCTAATGAACACTAGGCGTATTAACATTGCGTAATAAACGAAAGAAAATATAGCTCGCATAAAACAACCCCCATATTTTAGTTCCTCTATTGGTCGGGCTTGGTTTTACGGCCATTCTAGCGCCAGTACAACCTAGATAATGATAACAAATAAATTATAGGTCCGAACGCGTACTTAATTACTAAAGTTATTACTTCAGTAATGCGAGTTATGTGTAGATAATTTAAATAGGACTTTATAGCGTTTACGCCTTCGCCTGCTTTGAAGCAGCAAAAGCTAGAACTTTGATATTATTGTTATTTATTTATTTATTCTTTATTGCACAATAAAATTTTGTACAAATGGCGAGCTTAATGCCATATGGCATTCTATTGTCTACATATAACAAACTAGTTTTTATAAGGGTGTACCCTATTTTTCTTCGATGTATTAAATGTATTCTACTCGGTAACAGATGGCAGCACATGTCGATTCTACAGAAATTTCTTCGGACAACAATTTTAAGTTTAATTTTGTAATTTCACCATATTTTTTTTTTATATTTCCATTATTTTAATCAATTTATTATATATCTGTTGACATTTATTAACTATACACGAATTATCTGGGAAACGACTATTATTTTTTACATTATAATACATAGTTCTTTCTTCTTCTTTTGCCAATAATAATTGGTCGCCTTTTTTTCGACCGTTTCTGCCAGTGTTATGTATAAGAGGCTCATAACTCGAAAATTATTATTTTTCTGTTGGTAATATTAATAGAATAATATAATCATAACAAAGAATTACGCATTAATTTATGCACAGCTCATTATGATTGTTACTGAAAGATAAAAATACCTAACCCACAGATCTTTATTTATATTTATCAAAGTAAATTATTTGAATTTAGAATTCTTCAAATTCGAATTTCAATTAATTATATCCGTTACCATAATAAGTGAAACGAAACATTAAAAATACATTAAAAAATACAATGCAGCCGACTTTTCCACGAGCGATAGAATTAAAGGTCACTTAGTTAACCCTGCGCTATCGTGTTTTTATGACTGCGCGTTGTCGCGTCGTTTGCCCTTCAGATCGTTCAGTGAGTTTGTTCATTTTGTTACATACGCCATAGAATTCCAATAATGGGGCCATTTCTCTAAACTTATTTTTTATCCTAATATTACCGTTACTGTTATAGGCCATTGTAAACTAAACCCAGAATAATTTTGAGTTAAATCTATTGGAAAATTAGTTCATATTAGTCATTACTCCTATGCACACAAATAATTGAAAATTGTGTCAAATAAAAAAAAAAATCACTTATATTGACATAAACACTAAACTACTAAACCGATTTTTATAACATTCCTATGGGATCAATCTGTAAGTACATCGGATAAAATAGTACATTATTGCAGCGGCCAGCAACTGAGGCATTGATGGACGAACGTGCAAATGTGGGACGAGGCGTAGTCGAGGCACACATACGTGAGTCCATCAATGCCTAGTTGTGGCCAAGGCTTGTATAGTACTTTTCTCAAACAATGCGTGGAAATCAAAAACACAATTTTGTTTTTTTTTTCTCAATAAACAGCTTTCTATTTGCAAACCAGTTCGAAATTTAAATAAAAACCTTTTATTAGTTACCTCTTTGGTAGCCATGTTTCGAAGTAAAAGGTCATTCCATTTTTAAATTACAGGACAGATATGAGTTTACATAGTAATTTATCTGGCCGCAAAACACGAGAGATATGGATTTTCATACAACTTTTGCCGTCCGCTGCCCGCATGTATCTGGCCAGTACGGCAATTTTGATTTATCTCGAAGAAGCAAGCATGTTTGAGAAAAATAATTTTCCAGATCACTTTACAACTGACGGAGTCAAAAGATAACAAACGTAAAAGAAAATACATCCGAATTGAGAACCTCCTTTTTTAAGTCGATTTAAGAGAATTAAGTCCGCCATTTTTTAAGAAACTTAACGAAACTGACGAGTTTAATTAAAATCGGTATTGCCATAGCCCGATTGAGTAGTAATGTAATAATTATGTAAATTTTCTTTGCGTTGCATTAATTTTGCAATTATGTTCAATATAAATTCTTTTGCATATGCATTTTGGGTCCAACTTAATCACATACATAATTGCTAAGTAAAAATAAGTAAATACAGATATAATAAAATTGTAACCAGACAATGTTTGTACATGGGAGATATAAAAATATAAACATCTTTATTAATATAAAGGACAAATAAATATATAATATAATAAAACATATGAACAGATTTAATAATACCAATAGATACCAAAATAATATTTTTTAGTTATTTTGTTTGTCTGTTTGTCTGTATGTTTTTTCGACATCACACAAAAACTATAACACCAAACTGGATGCGATTTTCACAGTTATGTTCCTAAAGGTACGAATTTTAAAACTGATGCACTTCTCATTTGAATACAATAGCTAGTTACTTACTTCAAAAATTCACGCTTACGAAATTATGGACAAATATTATAATTTTTTTTTTGTCTACGTGATCAACTAAACGAAGTCTTGGGCAAAAACTATTGTACTGATGTCAATGAATAAAAAAAAAAAATGTCAATAATTAGATATACGGGGGAAAGGGATTGTTAGCAATGGAGTTTGACAGCCTCATTGCTAGCAATATGCCTTATTAGGTCGACCTCCACGTGGTTTCTCCTGGAAACCATCGTGAACAATTCTTGTTGAGTTCGTCACGATGGGCTAACTGACCTACTTCATCCTCACCTATCATCCTTCACTGGTGCCCCGCCGGTGTATACCGATAGTCCGGGTGGGGTTACCATTCCATTATCATCCATTAAAAAAAAAAAATTAGATATGCTACTAAAATATCAATGGAGCTATTGTATTCTCCAGTCCATCGGTGGGCATGTGTGCAGGCGCACACATAAAGCGGTTGTTACCCTTCTCGATGCGCCCGCGCCGGCAAAAAGTTCAGGCACTCTTACTAACACAGAGTAGTTACAGTTAGAGACTCACAATCATTTTCAGTGCCTGAAGATAAATACTTTTAATGAAATAAATGGCGATAAAAGATGGAGACTCAATCGGGCAACGTTTAACTGTGTTTCCGGTGATATTCATGTCTCGATCATTTAATAATGATCATTATTTGCTTCGTGCTTCAGAGGGAGTATTAATATCACAGTTTAGGTAACGAACGGCACATACTAATGGTAGCTGAACTAAACAACCGTACCAGAGACTTTGTACAAAAGTCGATTGCATGGGCACCTCTGTCTCATTCGTGTTTTAACCGTGAAGCAGCTGTGTTTGCATGGTTGTGTTTCGATTTGAAGGGTGGGATATGGCGTGAATTTACTGGGTACAGAGAAATAACACCTGAGTCCTCAGGAATAGCAACGTATGGGGGTATCATGGGCGAAACAGTATACTCTGTTATGTCCATGGTACTGCTCATGTCTATAGGCGACGGTTACCACTTTCCATCAGGTGGGCCGTCAGCTTGTTTGCCATTCTAAGTTGTATAAAAAAAAAAAAACAAATGTAATCAAATACCCAGTAATAGGATATTCTATACGAAGATAAATAAGTGTACATATATCAAAATGCAAAACTATAAAAAAAAGTTGTCTGCTCAAGTTGCCAGTAACAATATAAATACATAAATTATATTAATTGTTATTAACTTATCACGCAAAATAAAATACATGTAATAGACATCTCTGTATCAGGTCTACTCTGTACAAAGAGATCGCTCAACGTTTTATGGGTAATTTTTATGGGTTAAAAAAAGCAAGCGTCGCCCGGTACACCGGCGACCTTCCCCAAGGTCGACGGCATACCACGCCCTCAGCAGACGTCCAAGTGCCTTAGGGATGATTGGATAAAAAATGATCCGGGGCCATAATGAGCAACGGTTGGTAGGGAAAGGGTTATAATCATTAGTAACATGGCAATTAGTTTAAGTTTAGAATAAAGTGTTTAGTTGGTGATTAATATTCATATTTTGTGTGTAAAATAGCTTTTATTTAGTTAAAACAAACTACTAAAAGTACGTTATTACTAGCTGCCTATCTTTCGACCATTAAGTTTCCTTAGCTGCCCCTTACGGGTAAGGAAAAGGTGGCCCAT